GGTCGAACTCATCCACCGCGACCTTCCTGGCGCGAACAACGACAAGGGTGACTTGCTCATCCGCGAGACTGGCAGCGGCCGCCGCACATGGCTTCTCTTCCCTCCCATGCCCATGACTGTGATTTCAGCCCGCCGTGGTGACGCGAAACTCGAGCTCGTTCTTATGGTGTCGGGCACTCACAACGGACGGCACTGGTATGAGCTGCTGAGCCTCATCACAGACAACAACGATCAAGTGGAAGACTGGCTTGACATCGTTGGCACATCGCCCATGCCACCCAAAGAGCGGCTGCCAACTGTTACTGAAGAGAGCCTCCCCGACTCACCACAGCACCGGACCGATATACCTGTAGGCGGGCAGCTACATGGATCATCGTCAAGAGACATGTCATCTCCAGAGCCATATGCGCCCAAGCGATCGGGTTCTAGTCGCTACCACAACCGCGGCTCGAGCATGCCGACCACACCCATTCGCCGCAGCCCCTCTCCAGACAGAACCCCTACACAAGACTCGTACGATGAGGAGGACAGACACAGGGCTGCGCCGAACACGACCCCCTATCGCGCGGATGGCGCTCCGCCTCCTCCCATCCACCGCTCTTTGAGCCCCAAGCCCCCCAAGCTCTCGCCCCCTGTCGACATTGGGGGCTCCCGTGTGAAGCGTCGGGGATCTTCACCTCTAAAGCACGAGTATCTGCCTTCTGAAGAGTCATCCGATACGACTCGGTCCGTCACGGAGACCGATCTCTCAGAGAGCGAGACAGAAACAGAATCCGACTACACGTCATCCGAGTCTGAAGATGACTTTGAGGATGACATCCCCGAGACCGAGGTTGGCTTCAGCATTAGAGAGCCCGAGCACCAGCCGGCTGAGGAACGGGAGCGCGAAAGAGAGGGGTTTGTCGACTCCTTCAAGCAAGAGTCCATGATCTCGCGGTCATTCGTTCAAGAGTCAATGATCTCCGAGTCGGTGTGCAGTCTGACGCCGTCCAACTCGGCGTCGCAAGCCGGTCTCCATGGCCGCAAAATGAGTGCCTCGGAGAGCTACACCAGATACATTGCTTCCATCTCGTACTGGAACGAGAAGAAGGGTCAGTGGAAGGACATTTCCCTTGAGCCGTGCTCCATTCAGGTGACGGCCGGAGTCATCGAGGGCTACTCTTTGGTCATGAGCCCCGGAGGAGAACCCGACATTCCCCTTGTTTCTCTCGAGCTTACGCCCCTCGTCCTCCTCCGCCAGTCTACCGTTGTCGATCTTGAAATCCGCTCAGCCGTCAAGGACAACTGCAAGAACAAGGACATTGGCGGAGGCAATTTCCGCTTCCGTTGCCCGTCGGCCACGGAATGCTACAACCTGTACATGGCCGTTCATGGTGCCCGCCTCAACAACCAAAAGTTCATCCAGCTCGAGAACGAGGCACGCTATCAGTCATTCGGCCAGAGACCCGCAGAAGATACCGAGGACAATGGCAGTCATCATCGCAGCTGGTTCGGACGCAAGAACAGCTACCGCGCATCGGCCCGCGCACCATCTCAATCACAAGATGGAAGCACCCCCTCGTCGAGTCTGTCTGCCACGAGCTTCCTCAAGAGGCTCACGCAAGGGAACGCTTTCAACATTGCTCGGTCATCCATCGACAAGCAGGGTCGTTCCTCCAACAGTAATAGCCTCTACGGATCCGGTTCGTCTTCCGATGGCTACCCCCGCTCGCCGTCAATCAGCAACTACTCCAACTCCATCCGCAGTCCTACGCCGTCCGACAACATCAAGATTCGCCTGCACCTGCTTGTCAGCTCCAACAAGTGGGAGGATTACGGCAACTGCATCATACAGATCCGCCGCCCGCCACCGGGCTGGCACCAAGACCTACGCGCGAACCACGGCCTCGAAAAGCGCGTCACGGTTACAACAATGCCCAAGAAATCAGACAAGGCGCGCATCATCCTCGATGCGGTGCTGGGCAGCGGCTGCTTCACTCCTATGGGCAGTCGAGGCATCATCTGCGGCATCTGGGAAGAGATACGCGATGAGAGGGGCGAGATCGGCGTCGCGCCCAAGACGGGCGGTGCCGCCGGCTCGGTCAAGAAGTGGTGTTTCCAGTGTTCCAGCGCCTCGGAGGCCTCGTGGGTGTTGAGGCTCGTCCACCAGGAGGTTGGCGTGGAACTTCGAGACTGATTTCCAATGGTCTCTTTCTTTCCGTTTTGTCTATACCATCATTTTTCGTTTCCTTTTCCTATTTTCTCTGTCTTATTATGATTCCCCCCACACGAGCGAGCGAACGGCTCGCATTTCGTGCATTGCTAGAACCTGGCTTTAGGCGTCTGGCTATTAGGGTGGCATAGCGTGTTTTTGACATTATTTCGAAAGGTGTTTTGGCCAAAAGAATGGACGGGGACGGCCGGGGAGGAGTCGGGCTGGGCTGGGTTCACATACCGGGATGGGGGGGGGGGTTAACATATATACACTCGGGACCATGGCATTGGGGGTTTTGGCCAACGGAGGGGAAGATGGTAACTTGGGCTGGCAGCTTTTGTTTTGTTTAGGGCTTTCTTTTTTCTGCTGTTACACATGATACCGAAGTCATTTTATTGGCGTGTTTGGGGTAGTGTACGTATTGTAACGATACCGTGTATAGGAACGGTGGCTATTCAAGTCCGAAAGGTTTATATTAACATTTTTTGAAGGCTTTTGTAAAGTGATCTTGTTCCTCCAAAAGAAAGACGCCTTTTATGTTAAGGAAGGAGTTTAGGAGACAAAAGAATAGGGAACTGAAAGGGGGTGTATTAGGATCTCTTTCTCAATCTTGCTCGTCACTTAGTACCACCTCACATTATCAGTCATTCACCACCTGCTTGCTGATGTTAACAACAGCTGTAAGTTGCGTGGGTAGTTTGCCACAGTGTTTCTTTCTCATCGATAATGCTCAGGAGCCTGAGATGGTGAAATCCATATACCACGCCGAACAGCTACTACTCTAAACATCCACTACTACGTACTTCCCAGCATCCATTAATCCGATCCACTGCTCCGATCGTATTCGTAAACGTTGACTCTCACGTCGAGGCCGAGTTTTAAGGGGTAGGTAAACCACTCGATCGTCACTACCATGAGCACCGCCGTTTCCTAGACGAGGAGGAGAAGCCGTTATTAGCCCCGCCAGAAACGGTCACTTTGAATCGCTTAGATGACTTCCTCGAGCAGTGCAATTCTCGAGGAAGAATGGACGAACGGACTGGCCGGCTGATGAAGCTTTGTGGACTGGAGGTGGCGGGTATTAAATGCCTCTTAAGCCAGGTAGGCATCTTTTTGTCAACTTTGGTCATATCTATTGCGGGATGCAAGACTTGAGGACTTGAAAAGTCGTCTGATTATCTTGTTTTTAAGCCTACCTTGTCCTATATCTTGGATGATTCCTTTCATCTATACTATAAGTTTTCTTAATAACTAGTTATATTAAAATCTAATATTATGTTAATATCGTTACTTACGTCTTCTTGTCGTGAGACTACGTTATGGAACAATTATCTCTACATCCCGTGACCAGCAATTTTACACGTTAGAGAAAGTTTCATAGATAAATTCAGGGCCATCGACATCCACGTAGGTCTTGAGGACGTAGAAGCCAAAGCTAGGTAGATTACGAGCATATAGAAGAGGATAGTTTCTAAACTCGGTGATACCGAATTCGCGGCACTTGTCAACCTGTACTAAACTTTGGCTAATTTCTATGATAACTTCTTCAATAGTTCCCTGGCGGTCCTGCTATTCCTAAACCTCTCTCTCTCTCTCTCTCTCTCTCTCTCTCTCTCATACTCTCATACCTCTTTTATTAGTATTTTGGATGTAAGATACATGACTTTCATGGTGACTATAGATGCTCTTGGGATGTCCAGCATAGATATCGCCGACAGCACCCTCTGTGGATGACAGCAACTAGAAGTCGGACGCAGCCAACGTGGCGATCGGCACGATCCTGGTAAGAGTATGCGCAACTTGCTACGGTTCCCAACTGGTCTTGGGCTTTGGCGTCCATCGGAATCTTTCTGATCGTTTCACATCGAGCCCGCAGCGTCATGACAATCATGCACCAAGGAAAGATTGGCTGAGCATCGCAGGCTGTTGGAATAGAAGGCAGAAAAGGTGGATCTGGAAGGCGGCGGCGGGGTATTGCCCCTTCCACTTACTTACACCCAACGGAGGAATCGTGGGCTACGCTCACTAACTTCCTCCTTCCACATCCCGATTTACGCAATTCAAGATACGATGACTGGACTTCGTACAGGCCGCAAACCTGCCCTTCCGACGTGTATACCAACACAAGGGTATGTTGCAATAAGGTATGGAAGAAAAGTATAGTGTTGTGCATCAGGCTCTCTTCGTCTGCACCCCAAGATATGCAGGCCGGCAAGCAGCCGGCCACGTAAGATAACCGCCCATCGTTCCACTGGCTTGTCGTTTCCCCGCTTACTGCCCTCAAAAGTACTTGCACATATAGTGAGGGTGAGTTGTAGGCTTCACGCGGCTTCACGCGGCTTCACGCAGCACGCTCGCTCAACCCCGCCGTTGCTTGCGGCGAACTTTTTTCTCTGTACTTCAACAGCATCCGTTCCCGGGTCACTAGCTACCCCATCTCCTCGCCGACATGTCAGGTCTGGAGGCGCTCGGCGTCGCATGCAATATTATGGCGGTCATCGACCTGACGATGGTCTCGATATGCCGCCGCATCAGCGCGACCGGGACAGTCCGATCCCGAGCTTGCTCAGCACGCCGCAAACCTTAGCGCGGCCTCGCTCCAGGTTCTGGAGCTCAACGGCGTCAGTTCTTCTGGCCAGCAGGCCACCGACGCGGGCAGGCGTCTCCAGGAGGTCGTCGCCGACAGCCTTGCGTGCGCCGTGGACGTCGATGCGGAAGTTGCAAGCGTCTCGCCCAAGGGGGATGGCGCCCTCGCCAAGGCGTTGCCTGTTGTGAAGACGATGAGGCGGAGACGCCGCCTCGAAAGCTTGAAGAGCCGCCTGGAGCAGCAGAAAAGAGTCATGGACACGTCGCTCATTGTCCGTATCCTCGAGCAAGCTGGCACCTCTGGCCAACTGAACGCCGACTCCTTTGTCAAACTCGATCAAGGCCAGAGAGACTTTGTCGCCGAGTACGCTCGAGGCGCCAAGGCGCTCGAAGACCTCGTGAAGGCGGAATCTCAGCTGACTCGAGACCACAATGCTGCCGAGCACGCCAAGCTGCACGACGCCATGTCACGTCAAGAAGAGTCTAGGCTGGACAAAGAGGCATGCAAAGCGCTGCCTTGATAGCCTCAACTATGATGGGATGAACGACAGACAAAGCACCATCAAGCCCAGGCACAATCAGACTTTTGACTGGATCTTTAAGGACATAGACGCAGGCCGGTCTTCAGACATGTTGCAAGCTGGACAATATCCCCAATCGTCTGGCAACCTTGGCCTTTCCGAGGAAGTCCAAGGATCGGACAACCAGAGCGCCTCTGGACACGTCCACGATGCTGACAGAAAAAGCCCCTTATCTGGCCAAGAGGGAGCATTCATCCGATGCCTCCGAGCGGACGCGCGCCGTCTATTCTGGATCAGCGGAAAGCCAGGCTCTGGGAAGAGCACTTTGATGAAGCTGATCCGATATGACCAACGAACGGCCAACGCCTTGGAGAAGTGGCGGCCCAAGCCGAGAATCATCTCCCATTTTCTGTGGAAAGCCGGCAGCCAAAGCCAAAACAGCTTCCGGGGTCTTCTCTGCTCTCTTCTTCACCAGGTCTTGCACAATGATCAACACCTCATCGCCCAGTTCATTGGGGAGAATCGCGGGCTCACGTACAAGAACAGCGAAACCGACTGGTCACTTGAGGAACTCAAGGTGCTCCTGTTCAAAGGTATCCGAAACGCAGATCGGGGGTATCTGGTTCTCCTCGATGCCCTCGACGAAGTCGATAGACGAGACGAAGGTCTAGACCAGCTTCTGAATTTCGTACACGAACTCGAAGCAGAGAGTCAGGTCAAACTCTGTGTCTCCAGCCGTGCCGAGCGCCCCTTCGACCTAAGATTCGACAACGAGTCGAGGCCGAGACTCCGCATGGAGCATCTCACATACCAAGACATCAAGAATTACACACACGACTTTCTCAAAAACACCGGGCTCGACTCCCCAGACTTGCTGCAAAAGATTTCCGAGGAAATTCTATGGAAGGTCGAGGGCGTCTTTATCTGGGTGTACCTCGTTCTAGCGGACGTCAAGCTTGGCATTACCAACTTCGCAGAGGATTGGGACGAGATTTATCAGCGCATCACCATCTTCCAGCCGGATCTCATGAAGCTGTACAGGGACATGTGGCACCGGCTAGACGGCCGTCGCGAGGTCCACGTCGCGCGAGCGGCCAAGTACTTCAGTCTAGTTCGGATGCTGTTGACTTACGGGAGATTCAGGAGTCACTGCTGCGTTCTCACATTGGCGATCGCATCAGATGACGCTATTCTGGGCGTCTTCTCGGCGTCGAACGAACTGCCGCTGTTACCAGAAGTGTTGCAAAGATGCGAGCATATCCAAAAGACCCTGTCACCGACGTGTGCTGGGCTTCTGGAGATGGAAGACGGCTGGGGAGCCGTCGTGGAGGGCGCGACGGACCAGCAAAGACTGGCTGCTTGGGACGAAGTTCGCATCAGATTCACCCACAAGACTGCACTGGAGTTCCTTGACAGCGATGAGGGGCAAGCGCTGTTCCAATCTTTTGCTCCGGACTCTGAGGAAACGGTCTTCAGGTGCGTCAAGGCGGTGCTCATCATCCAATTTCTGCATGGTGCTGGCAACCGTGCTTTCACGCAAGTCGCAGACTCGATGTGGCAACTGAAAGAGTCCTGTGAACAACTGAAAGAAGGGTTCCAGCCATCTGTTTGAACTTTGTCTCAAGTCCGAAAGGTTTGATTTTCCGAGACAGTCTTGGAGTTTTTGGTGAAAGTGATCTTCGTCCCTCTGAAAAGAGAAACCCTCTTCGTATCAATAAAGAAGCTCGGGAAGTGAACAGAACAGGAAACCGAAAAGGTTCTTTGAGCATCTCTCTCCTCAACTCCGCTCGTTGACCAAAATGCAACCTACTGACCAACCTGTCCATAGCCCGCCATGTTTTTGAACCACAGTTATCAGCTACTTTGGTTTATGCGTGTAGTCTTTCTTTCTGATTGATAATTCTCAAAAGTTTGTCGTGGTTAACCAAGCCCCATCACCCCGGACGTATGCAGGTAAACCCGCAGCTACCTCCACTTCAGCCGCTATTTCCTCCTGGCCGAGGAAAAGGAGATATCGTCAGCCCAGCCAGAACGGTCATCTCGATCCGCTCGGATGACTTCCTCGAACAGTGCGATCCTAATGGAGAAGATGCGCCTCTGAGGTTGGCTGACACGGTACCGCGGAAAGATGGCCAGGTATATATGTGCTTTCCAAGCCAGGCCAGACCCGCCTTTCTGCCAGGTACGGGTAAATCTAAATCTACCCTTATAGTCTTATCCGAAGAAAGGTCGTTCGCATTCACTTTGCCTTATCCTCTCCCATGGCTGCTTAGCTCCTTGGGAGGAAGGGTTAACTTGAAGGGGCCATGACCCCCCTCCCGCCCGAAAACACGCCGGATTTACGAGCCAAACCTCCCTATCCTATTTGTACCCCAATAAGGGACAACTCTCCTTATCTTACCACAGCCAAGAAGAGAAGAACTTCAATCGGAGTTCTATAACGGCACTACGAATAGACTATTAAATCAGATCTTACCTGAATAACGTGCCGTGCTGCTAGCTATTGAGACCCTTTGCTATTAAGACCCCTTATTATGGGAAATCTACAATGGGGAGGGGTAGGGGACCTACCTGAACTGGAGAAGCTGGCGGTGGGCGTTACGGGAGGCTTCAGTTCAAAGATTGGTACGGATACGCTGGTGCTCTACCCTAGCCGCGCCGGTTACAGATTACAATGAGATTTCCAACCCCCCTGAGTCTAGTGATCGCATAAAGGGCAAGGCTGTTTTCGCTCATCTCTTGCCTTTGGGGGTGGTACTAAGCCTGCGTGATCCCTACCTTGGAACGGAATCTGAGTATATCCGTATCTAGCAGGATATGTTGTACAAATCATAAACGTCCATGTGCTTGAGATGTGTCGCGAAGGAAGGGAGGTAGTGACTCCCCACCGCTGGAGTCTGTATCAAAATGTTGGGGAGGAACCCTCGACAGGAGTTTTCGGGTGTACAGCGGCGAAAAGTCATTATAGTTTTTCCTTTAATTCTGTTTTCGCTCTTACATCTACCTGATGTCGCGTGCTTATGTCTATCTCTACTCTTGGGGATAATGATTTGGTAAGGGTATTTACAGAGTGCCTTCCTTTCGTCATCCGACCGGAAAATACCCCTGAAAGCGCATTACAGCATAGAATAAATAAGCCGAATACATACTCCATAAATATGGTTGGTATCCGCTTCCCACCCAAGACTCGAAAGAATACAACGCCGGGCACGATGTCAAGTTAGACATGTCTCGCCATACTATTACGGCCCGAACTTGATTCCGCATCGACTTGGACGGTGTCGTAGTCAGCAATTGGTACAAGGGGTCTGTTCGACTCTACATCTCTACGTCGAAATCTGGGTTCTACGTGGACGCGACAAACTCGACGAAGACAAGAGCACGATGCCGCGTAGGTAGCCTCTGACCAGTGAACGCGCTGTACTCTGCTCCTATTTAACGTTTGGACAGTCGCCCGAGGGGGAGCTCTACTCGCTAGGTTCACGTTCCAAAGGGACCATAGCGAGCCGTAGGCCTGTGTAAGAGGCCAAGGGCTATTCAAAGGACAGCAAAATTGCTAAAAACTTAGTACATAACGTGCCGGTTGACGGGGCCCAGCATTAGAAACATCCAAGTCGGAGGTCACAGACCGTTGCTCGGCTTTCACGATGCTGCTCTCCCATAGTGGCCGAGAGGCTTCGGTTTATCGGATCTAACTCTACAACAGCGCAAGCAAGCTCTGGGAGAATAGCCTCGGCGCAAGATAGCCCCGAGTTAACCCCTGAAGTCTGAGCTTCCGAAGAATGTCAACCTCGGATTGTGCTGTGACTCGGGAGCATAACTTTAGGAATTCGCTCGATCACACCTCAAGCCCAATGAGATGGGCGAACATGTGTGGTGTTGCTTGTCGGGGAGACTACCATTTGACTGCATGGTGAGATGTAATAACAGGTTGGGAGCGAACTACTTATTCTCGTGCGACACTTGTCCTAGTGAATAAACAAGCGCTTGAAGACGTCGCCTCATTTGTAGTAAGCGGTCAAACTGTCTTTAGGGTGCGTCTCAGCTAGCCTCAGTAGAAAACCACCAATGGCTCGCCAAAGCTCTCTGTCTTACGGTACTCTCATCGCCACTCAGACGCCTCACAAGAACGATCTGTGGCTGACAACCATGACACTCAATCAGGAGAACTGCTGGCTCTCGAACCCCTGAGATGGCGGCTAGGGAGCTTTTACTCCCAACAGTTATAAGTGACTTTGCACGTCCGGGATGACAACCTGGAACACACCACAGTCCCTGAGTCACGAGCTCACCGAGACCGTCTCTTCGATCGTCGGCCCGGGCTCGGTCACTGAGCCTCATAGCCCGGCCTCTGATCTATGTCGAAGACCCAGATCGTCATGTTAACCATCATTTCGCTTCCACGCCTTCTGGAAGCCTCGGGGAAGACAGGTGTAATAAGAAGGAGGCCAGGGTGCCTGACGACGAGCCTGCTTCAACCAAATTGCCGGTACGTTTCGTGGCTCCCTAGGCTGGCATTGTATCCGCACATGCCTAGTCAGACGGTAGCCGGCAGCCCAGCCGAGATGACCACGCAGCAGTCGCAATAAGGCCCAGAACCAGGCTTGAGCTAGGTGAGAGTTTCGATGGACCGGCAACCAGGGGTACAAGTCCCCCGGAGACGCAGGAACGCATAGGGACTGGCGCAGTACCCGTCGATGTGGAGATGTACGTTGATCGCACTGTGAAGAGAGATCGACGAACTATGCCGATGTGGGTGCCGAGCGTGCGAAGAGCTCACGTGCGAACACGAGCATGCTGGGGCGGACAAGGAGGCTGGTTTGAAAAAACCTTTCCAGAGCGCCCCACGATGCCAGGATTAGAATACCAAGTAGGTTGTTGGGATGCTGGGATTGCTATTTGGGAGCGACCGCTTCATACGTACTTATGGAATAAGAATGCAGCCGTATTTCTGCTCTGGTTGCTCATGTTGCCTTAACTGCTGGTCGCAGAGCAACACTGACGAAGCATGCCTTGTTGTTGAACAGACTGTTGGCCGACAGGCTAGCAAATCAGAGAGAGAAACGCAAAAAAAAAACAGGATTTCAGTTTAGTTCCGGGAGCCAGGTTCAACATCCGGATGGGTGTAAGCTCCAACCCAAACATGGCAGGACGCGTCGACGGGGAAGCAATCCGGCTGATCCGCGCAAACAAACCTCGAAGGGTGAGAATTGGTTGGGAACGGTTGAAACAGCCAAGGGGAAGAGGGAGCGGTCGGTCACCGAAGAGGCGAGCGGTTGGAAAACCCAAAGGACCGAAACTGCGAAGGCGTTGATCGGTCGACCGCTGTAATTAGAGGGAGAAGCGAATAAAGTTATCAGATCGAACCCATGCCATGTCGCTGGGTATTGGCGTTAGTGGAGTAGGTTGAGGGTTACACTAGCACCTCAGGAGAACGCTCGCGACAAGCTCGAAATGAAGATGAGACATCACTAGACGCGCAGGGAGACGCGAGCGGCGGGCCTGGTTCGCGACGTCGCGTAGGTCTACGATTTGAGATTTCAAGTGTGCTTGCTCGTTTGCGATGGGAGGCTTTGCTAGCGTAGTGTCGACCGGGGGGTTGACAGTAGCCGGTCTCGGAGATTGAGGACAATCAGATTAGATGCGATTGATTTGATGAGATTGATAATGTGCGATAAGATCGGAGTCGTGTCTTGGTTTGGTCCGGTGAAAAAGCCAAACAGCCCCAGCTGAAATGGCTGGACGTCAAGATTGGATGAAAGGTCACGGACAGGGATCGGATGGTTCAGTGCGTGTGGCATTCCGTCAGGAAAAGCAAGGTGCGGAAATGGTTGGTCCATTGGGCAACACGAGATGAAGCATCCCTCATTTCGTTTGGATGTCCGGCTCAACGCGGCCGATCTTCATTGCTTGTGACGTTTGTGTTTTGCAACCACCTCGAAGATGGGCGCTTGAGGCGTGCGATGCACATCAAGAGGAAGGTTTGTCGCGGTATCTTATGTGCTTATGCAGCAGACTGCATCGCGAACCCAAATGCCATAGTCTAAGAGCATCTTGAGATGAATCTAGAGGATCAAAACTTTGATACGCTCACGTGAGCGGTCTTGTTGGGAGCCGACCGTCGTTGCCCGTGTCTAGAGATGGGGAGACGGCCGGAATTCCTCGGTTCGGTAACGGCAGCCGGAGCGCGTGTTTGCGGAATCCGGCGAATTTTGCCCAATCCTACCTAGCAGAGGAGCGGGTGACCAGCGTTGCATTCCGCGGGACACCTTTCATCAGTTATGCAGCATGGAGGTCTGCACGCGGAGCCGATGCTGGTGGTTCTTGGGATTTGACAGTTGATGCGCAACAATCAGATGGTGACGACCAGCATGGGAGGAGACCTTAGGGTATGCCATGTGGAATCGGTATACAGTGTGCGAATTTCGAAAAAACTTAGAAGGGAGCCGGCGGAAAGGAGTGGCAATCCAACGGCTCATGGCTCGGCATTGTGGGCTGACTCGACAGGGCCTTTGACCGAGTCTTGCTCGTGCTTGGCGTGTTTTCCTCTAGGTTTTCGGTGAGCGGTGAATTGTATTGCAAGTCGTTATTTGTGGGCCTGCCCATGGTGCTGTTTCCGTCGAATGACCGTGATGTGTAAAGAAATTGCTTCGGTAAGACGTTGGGTCCAATTCGTGACGAGGGGCTGAGCTCAACGAAGAACATCTGGGGCCCTGGGGGTGACCGCTGTAGTGGAGGGTCGAACCCTACCGCTTAGCAGAAGGCATGCCCGGGTAATAAGGCCTCTGACGACTCCGGGGTGGCTGATTCCCAACGTGCTGGAACACATTGTTTAAGAGTGCGCGGAGTGGTACGTAGGGCCTGGCGGGTAAGTCTG